GCGCCGTCCCGTCTGATTCATCGTCTGTCAGCAGCTGTCTGCTCTGGACGCTCTGCAAGAGATGGGGCAGGGTGAAAGAGGAATCAGTGGAGTGTTTGGGGCGAGACCAGTGGATGCACAAGTATCAGCCGCCCGACCTGAAGGGAAGAGTTGACAGAGTGGGGATGGACAATGAGAGAAGCAGACAGTTTGGTAAAAAGGGAGGACAAGTGTAACAAAGTACCATGTCCTTTAGTGCAATGAAGACAAATAAATCCTAACTTCCATTTATAAAACCTTTGGGCAACAACTCAATTCAACACGCTGAGACATTTGGCGTCGTCTGCGTGTAAATATTTGTCTTTCAAAGCAGCTCAGCTCAACGGGAATGATTTATTAAGTATATATTGGCTGTAAAAAGCATTCCGGTTATGTGTCGCCTCAGCATGAGCAATGAGTTCTGCCTCATTAGATTTCAAGTGCTGAGAGAGATTAAAAGCTCCAAAAAGTGTGAATTCATCTTTTCAACATACTGTCATTTATGCAGAATGGAAGAAGAAAGGCATCTGTCATGGAGGGATGTCTCAGGCAAAAGTACGATTTGTGAGCTCTACCTGGTATTGATTTTGGTCTGCTGGAAGAAAGGCTGAAAACGATGACACAGCGGTTCCTTGGTGAAGGATTTTTGATTTATTTTTCTCCCCATGACTCATCACTACACTTAAATTTCTGCCCAAAGCAAAAGAGAAAGTCCAAAGAAATGCTATAAAAGCCAATCATTTCTATGCTTCATTCTGTACCCTTGAAGAACACAAAAACCCACAGCCTCAACCACTTTCCCTAAACCCACTGCTGAACCATCAGGACCAGATATGAGCACAATGTTCGTTTCCTTCAACAACAAAAAAAAACGAATCAACATTGACAGCATTAGGAATATAATCACCGGCTTCATGATAAAACAGATTGGAAAGAAAAACTAAAAGTCAACTGAGTCATCACACAGCTCTGTTTGTGAAGCTTGAGTCATCTGTGTTTCTGTAATACAGACTGAGGGATTTAAGGTGGCATGTATTTTCCAGTGGATATGTAACATTTTGGGCTAAAACCCTTCAATTATCCAGCTGTGCTCATCGCTGCGAAGTGCGAACGCCTCATTTTCCAGTCCTGTCTTGAAGGTGGTTGTTTTCTGCGGTAATTAAGGTGTTGGCCCATTTGTATTTGACAGTCACATCTAATGGATAGCACTTTCCAATTCCATCAGTCACTTGATAGCCGGAGAGAGGTCAGATGATCCCCTGCACACTTCTCCCTCACAACGAGGGACTCAAGGAAAATGAAGCGGCAAACATGCAGACGTAGTGAGGATTTAATTTAGTTTCACACAGGGGATCTTGAACGATTATTGAAGTACACTTTAGCCCAGTAGATACATTACTTTGCTGTAGCAATATACCAAACAGTACAATGAAAGTGCACTCAGTGTAAAAGATGGTCTCATTTATCAATGTAGCATCATTGCATGTGATCTTCATCCAGAATTAAAAGAAAAAAGAGTTTACACAAACATTTTCATAGAAGGAGAAAAAAACAAACTTAAGCCAACAAACTGAAGTCATGTCTTGTTAACTGCAATAATATAATAATAATAATATATTATATATATATAACATATTAACACCAAATAATCCCCTCCCATCCCATGCCATACAGTACTGTACCTTACTGTACCATACCATACATGACCCTACCATATACTACAATATACCCTACATTAAAATACCATACCATACATCACCATACCATATATTAACACCAAACCATCCCCTCCCATCCCATGCTATACAGTACTGTACCTTACTGTACCATACCAAAACATACCATACCACACCATACCATACAATGCAATGCTATACCATACCATATACTAACATATCATTTCATATGATACAATATAATACTATACACTTATTTGAAATGTGTCTTAGACTCCAGTGCTGCTACAATTTGAAAGACATAACTCAGCAGCTTACCCAAGTCCCGGTCTTATGAGCAACATCACCAGAAGTTATAGCATTATAAAATGTAGGGTCAGCATTAGCACAAACATCACCGGCATACCAGCTTTGATACAGCTGTAGGAGATAAGTGGTAACTATACTGCTGATATTAGTGAGAACATTTCCACAAGTATAGAATACAAGCATTAATTGTCTTCTGTGAAATGAGTGAATCTCCTCCTCAATCTTTCCTAAGACCAATTCCTGAAAACTGCTAATGCTAACTCTTCACTGATTTTATTGGTGACTGTTTTGGGGACAGGTTGAAGCAGGGAATGTGGTTTTCTACTCTGATATTCTTGTGTCACCCAGCCATGGTTGAAGCTTCCTTCTGCTCTGCTGCCTGTGTCAGCTGGAATCTGATATTATGATTTGTCGTGTGGCTCTATAAATGAAACACAGAATAGTTTAAACGGATTATCACAGAAACTTTACAGCTCCCCTCATTATTCTTCAAGGCCTCGTGGCAACTTTCCTTCCCGCAGTGCATGTTGCACATGTGCCTTTCTGTCACTCCACACAGTGCGCTCTCTTTTTCCTGCTCTTAAGTACTTCATGATTGGGTGAAGTGTGCCTCATCAAAATTCCCCTTTTCCAAATTGCTTTTAACAGCTTATGCGGGTCCGTCTGATGCCAGCCTGCGTCGGAAAACGAAATGATTTCGGTTTCTCGAGAAGTTGTTACAGGATGCCGCAAAGCCAAAACCGCCCACCAAACTAGCAGTTAAACATCGCCAAGGCCTTGTGGAACATTAATGCCCAAGCCGTCATCAACGCCTTCAATCATTATTCCGCTTGTTTACGTCATTTTCGAGTTAAGGCCGAGTGAAAACAAACAGCGGTTTTGTCAAAAAGCCATCAACACTGGGGCTTAAGAGTGAAGGCATAGAGAAAGAACGTACAGGTTTCATCATTGATGCTAAAAAAGAAGAACAGTATCGGAAGACATTCAATTATTTTTTATGAGTTCACTCTTTTTTTGTCTTGACTTAATCGGCCTTCAAACACACTCAGAACAGTGGAAACACAACAGCAGGCCTTCCAAACTTAAATATTTGATTCTGAACTGATCTAATTGAGCTTTCCTTGATGAAAACACTCTTATGACAAATATAGCTGCTTACATCTCATTCTCATGCCTATAGGCTGTTTATATATGAGAACCACAGCATCCCACATCGTCCTTGTGGTCAGTCTAATTAAACCCGTAGTAATGAGCATTCGCAATTGCTGCTCGGCACATGTCTTTTCACATACCGACTTCTGAGAGTTTGTGTGGGATAGTCAAACAAGCCGGCACACATGTGTCAGTCTCTCCGTGCAGCATGTTGAAAACCCACATGTGAGGGATTCCGGTGCCCGCTGCGGGAACGAGTGGGAGGTTGTGAGCTGTGTCGGGGACAGATGGAGAAGCTCGGTGTGTGTGACTTCTAGTCCCACAGGGGCTCCCTGTTGATACAAACACTGCAAACACATCAGTCTGTGGAGAGAAAGTGACAGAGAGGGAGGTGCTCATCCTCAACAAATGGAAGGTGTCCTTGAGCAGAGTGCAGCTGCTCTCAGGACCAGAGTTGAGGATATTTTGAGTATTCTGGAGAGAGTTTGCTGAAAAAAGTTTTAGTTGAACTGAGTGGCCTGTCCTACCAAACCCCTTTCCACATTTCACCACACATCTTGTGGACAGATTGCAAAAGTAAATCTTAGGAATGGTTTGATTTCTGCCCAATAAAACAGGTTCATAGAAAGATCATGGTTTGGTTAATTCCATGTGCTCCGAGAGGTTGTCGTCACTTGTCGAGAACAGATGTTGCTTTTGGACACTTGTTGGAATAACAGATGCGTTTTGCCCCCCTCAGGCTCCTATTGCAACATTGTACATATCCTGTATCATTGTCAAGAAAGGACAATTCAGTCAAAATGTTTTCTGAAGTCGCTAATCAATTTGGCAGAATTGAATGTTTTGAGAGAAGCAATTTCCATAATTTGTACAGCATCAGGATGATTGTTGAAATAACTGGAACAATGTGTACTATCTGTGTATTAAGAAAGACTCAAATTTCTAGGTAGAATAACATTCACATTGTTAAGCGACTGAGGACATAGAGTTCAGCTCAATCACAGTGAGAGAAGAATCTTTAAGTAACCGAAAGGTTTGTGTGAAGATATGACTCATTATCTCAATTCTACAGAGTCTACTTCTCGAAAAAGAAGGAAAGTCAGGGACACTGAGAGAACGAGAGAGAGAGAGAGTAATGTAAAGAGCAAGAGCGAGAGCACTTGAGCTTTACTGAGGGAAGTCACAGCTTATGAATCATCATTGCCCGCTGGACGTCTGGCTGAGTCGCCCGGCCTGCCCTTTGTGTGGCCTTGGCACACTGCGCTGAAACAGAGCGCTCCCACCTTTGACCTCATCATAGCAGACCTCCTCAGGGGCATTGGCGGCCGGCCATCATTCTAATGAAGCAGCTCGGTCGCAAAAAATCCCCCAATAACTGCCGCCTCAGTGGGCCTTTGTGAAACTGACACCAGTTTGCAAAGGTGACAGTTGTTGACCAAGTTGTGAATGGCCTCAAGTGGGCAACGCCGACCCACACGCCAAGTTTTTGTGTGCAAATATGTGTGTATGTACAATCTTTACCCTTTTCATTTCTGTCTGTGCACTTGGATGAAAATCTACTGTGCTGTTATGTAGCCATGTGCATTTATGTGTAAGGGCATGTGTACAACATGTTGATGCTGTGTGGTGTTGCAGTGCGGTCAGTATGTCATGCAGCCTGGTGCCAGGGTTGAGTGGGGGTCGGGATATAGCCACACAATGATGTGCTTCATGGGTAATAACACTGACGTTCCTCGTCCTCCCAGCCCTCTAACCCAAGACATTTAGGCTCATTGAATTTTAAGTATGGTCACATTCTTGCTGCGTCTGTCCTTTGTTAATGACCGTCTGCCGTCTCCTCCGCAGATCGAGAATGTGGACGCCTGCCTTAGCTTCCTGGACGCCAGAGGAGTGAATGTACAAGGGCTCTCAGCAGAAGGTAAGAAGAATAAATAATACAAGGCGTGATTACACTCTTTATTGAATCAGTGCAGCAGCAGACGAGGGACCTTCCTGTTCTATCTCCAATCTTACGAATTGGAAAATACATTTGGTTCCAGCACCACCACCCAACCTTCTCTGGGTATGTTTTCCATTTCTTCACAGCACCAAATATCTCCAAAAAGCTTTTTTCCAACACGTACTATTATACTTCACAGCAATGGAATTTACCAAGTTGGTATCAGGGTGCACAGTGTCTTTATTTTAAGCTTTCACCATGGCAGTGAAGGCGATCATTACAGCATCAGAGAGGATTCTGAAGGGATAAGAACTGCAGAGAGGGATTTGACTCCCAACCATTAGGGTATACCCTACAGGGCTTAAATGACAGCCATGACTACAGCAGAGGTCTGTTCTGAGTGATTGCTTGCCAAATTGAGTGATAAGCTAAAATTGTCCTCAGTAAAAATGTCAGTTAGGTTCCAAAGTGTGTGTTATGATGTTTTATAGTCGATTTTCAATCTGGAGAAGGAACCCAAGATTCGCCTGAAGTTCTTTTCCCTGCATTCAAAGAGCTTTTCGAAATACAGGGATAAAAGGGGACGCACATCAATGAGACACATAGCATTACATCATCAGAGCGACCCTTTTGACCTCTGGAGCACAGACCTGACAGCCCTCACATACAGCTTGATTATCCAATCAAGAGAGCAACTTGCCACTGTCCTATGAAACCATGTTTCTATGACTGTTCTCATCTCATTGTTAGCACTTAACCTTACCAATACTAAATACTAAAATACTAATACCTACAAAGGGTAATGCACTATAATTCATATAAAAATCAACATTATTGTGAGCTGTTATGGATGTCTTTTTGTGGGCAGAGAGAGGTGACATTGTAAAAAGACAAATTCAGTCTCTTTGGGGTCGTAGTTGGAGCGATTGGATTGGTCGAACAGTGCAGGAATTTCTCCTAGAACACCTGGATATGGGTCTGTGTGAAAAGTAAAGTCAATGTTGGAATTTTCATTCAAACAAACCATTTTTCTTCATTTGACATAACAAACTAGGGTTTTTAGGGAAAACCTTCAATGTTGTGTCTAAGCTGTAACGCAATCATCCGCCACTAGTCGGGGCTGTATGTCCGGGTACTACAGGCCTGCTCTCATTGCTCCAACACCTGGATGTAAACAAGCATAGTGGACGGACAGGATCTCGTAGGAGCAGCCAGTGACCACTGTACAGGAGATTTTCAGTAGCATTATATCAATATACTTATTTAAGAATGGAATTCAATGTTTTCAATGGCAATTAGGACAACAGTGATACATGCACTATAACACTGTACAAAACAAAAGTATCTGTTTCTGATTGAGGTTCTCCACGGGCCTACTGTACACATCCAAGCATGTCTCAATTATTCTAGCAGAAAACATCTCCAGCTGTTCTTTAGGACCCCATGTTGTCTCTGCTCCCCTTTAAACATTAAAGAGGTGAGTGTGTCCTTGACCCTTCCACCAGCAGCAGAAATAGTTTGACAGCCTGACACACTGACCGACAGCTCTAAATTCTGCTGCTCCCCGACTGCAGCGCTATAAACAGCAAAGTGACTCACTAGGCCTGGAATTTCAAAGTGGGTCTGTAAATATGTGGGCTATTGGGTTACTGTGTCCATCCCTGTTGCTGCTGCATTTCATCACTCCCTTCACTCAGTCCATCTTTCTCTCCATCATCCTCTACTCTTTTCAGCCTGTTTCTCAGGATCTGCTCCACATGTGCTGTGTGTGTTTGTGAGTTGAATAAGACGGACATGCCTGCCCTCTCATGTCTAATTGAATCAGCTCAGGGACTTCCAGATTGTGTTGGCTGGCATATGCAGTCTTTATTATCCTTTTACAAGGTCTGCGAATCAAACAAAGTGGAATGTTTGATGTGCGTACAGGCATGGTACTTTTTTTTCCCTTAGCCTACTTATTGTAATAACCTCTCCAGAAGTCCCCTTGCATCTCTCTGGTGGCAGGCTGTAAACTTAAGTTCCGGAAAAACTCATCTTGTTGAAGAGTTATGGTTCCCCTTCAGATGGTTAAAGGCCCTAATGAAAACAAGTTTGAAGCCTCTTTTTTTCCATGCAAGAAAATAAAAATCATGCCATAGATAGGGATGACAGAGGGATGTGGAATCCCATTTTGACACCTTAACGTACAATCGAAAAGACTTTCCTGTCCGTACTTCTACTCCAATATGCAGACATTTTTTTTACAGATAGTCCTGGTTCTAACACAATTAATCCCAATGGCTTTGATAAACGCTTTTTTTCATTTATTGCTACAAAACTTTCAACTTTTCCAGGGAAATATCCTAATATAAAATGAACAGATTCTGAGGAACATAAACATGAAGCCTGAAGCACAGCAAAGCCCCTGTAGTGTGGCTGTAGACTGTTAGGCTTTTTATGCAGATTGAAATCTCCATCTGCTCAAACTCGACTTGAACCCTTCCCACAAAAACTGCTAACAAAACGGGCAACAAAAAAATGAAAAGTTTTACTACCTGAAACGTGATAATTATCCACAGGAAGTTCGGTCTACCGGTACCAGCCTTAAAAATTAGGTGTAAAGCTCTAGAACACACATTTCAGGATTTAAACCAATCGTGGTAGTAAATGCTGATACCAATGATTAAGCCATTGCAGAATCTGATACAGATGTTTATTTCATTACACCATTGCAATTCTTCGACTCTGGTTTTCGAATAAGCTGAAATTTGATTTACTTAAATTGTTGTAAGTTGTATCTCCTCTAAAAAAAACTGTCAAAGGAAGGGGTCCTGATGGCTTAATAGTTAGATCGTGCCCCCATGTATGGGAAAGCAGACTGCCTGCGTTCAAGTCCAACCTGTAGCTCCTTTCCCGCATGTCATTCTGTACTCTCTCTACAGATTTACCACTCTATCCAATGTCCTATCTATGTAAAGACACAAAGCCCCAAAATACATCTTTAAAAGAGTCAGTGGAAGATGCCTTACAAACTGCATGTCACAGTGGTGTGTGGTGTAAGACTCACACAACCAACATTATATTTCACCTTTGAAACCATTAAAATATGAGAGTTTGTCCAAAAGATGACTTCTTCTGCCCAATAAGAAACCTCTTCTTTGAATCAGCATTTAGGTTTACTAAAATGCCAGCATTAAGTTGACGTGACAAAACGATTGAATTGGCTACGCATATACAGTAAGTGCATGCCACATTATTTGCAGATTGGCCGATGTCTGGCTGATCGCAATGTTCGACCGATACATCAGACATTCCCTCTCCGTTCTGGCTAACTGTGTTCAGAGATGTTGGCTGAGAACAACAGTTGACCATCGTTGTTTGAAAACTTCATTGTAAAGTCAAGCAAAGAAATAAAGCCAAGCTTACACAAAGAAGCCGACGCCAAAGAAGACAGAACCAGCTGTGGAGCTTTAAAGAAAGACCTTGGCTGGAGTTGTATTGTCAGGGGATTATAAACTAAATTGGTTGATTAAGTAGGTAACGACAGATTATGTAGTCCTTAATGCTTACATATTTGCCTTTTCTCTTTGTATTACCGAGCTGCACTAGAACCTTTGCTTCACCTCCTCAAGAGTCCTCTGTGACTCATGAACTAACCAACCGCTCCAAATAATGAGAGAAAAAGTACTGAATGAAACCACGTCAACCACTTAAAAAGCCTCCAGAAGCAAAGGCACATTTTCATTGAGCCTGGGCCAAGCAGACACACTTACATTGCTCCAGTGCTGCAAGAGCCCACAGTGGATAAAAAGGCTGCATACTGCTATTCTCCAATGTCCTTACAGAATCCAGCTGTCCATTTTTCTATTACAACTTTCCACAGGACTCTCAGAAACGTAAAAAAAAAAGTACAATATAAGTGAGCAAAAGGTGACACTGTGTGAAATTTAACATTGAATGTGCAGCAGACGCTCTCTGAGCTTTGGCTGGGTGATAAGCTGAGCTGCAGACAAATGACGGTCAAGTGGAAAATGTCTGAAGTGATCATATCTCTCCTTCATCATTTTGGAAGGAAAAGCAGTGGCGTGCTCTTTTTCGTCTGAGTTACCAGGAAGAGTGCCTGAAGTTTGAGCAAAGCCAACCAATTCATCTGGCACTGCAGTGACTGCTGAAAGACCCATGTCATGCATAAATCCTGCAAAGGCCCTGCTTTACAATTGCTGATAACTCTTTTGTAAACATTGTGCTGCAGCACAAAAATCATCAACCATCATGCACTGATCATGTCCATCAAGTGACACCTGTCAACCAATCACAGCCCCCATTAGAAATACCTACAACATCAAAATCCCCAAATCCCACTGAAATAAGTTTTGCTCATGGATGGTGTTTTTCGGTTAGCTTTGTTGTGCACAAATGTGAATCAAATTTTGCATAAACAGGCCAAAAAGACTTTGCAGCTACACCAAACAATGATGACGGGGGTTCAGCCAACCACAATTAAAATGAAAGCCTTCTTCACTTAATACCACCAGGAGTTTGCCTGACCTAACACAACATGCTGCTACAGAGATGCACAAGAAGTCCACGCTAGCTACAGGACATTAATGATCTATGTCTACTCATTCTGTTATCATCACTGAACATTTTTCTAATGACTTCAATTGCTAGTTTTAAGTCTTTTTCAAAAGAGCATGATATTCCTTTATGTTTTCTAATTGTGCCATTTAGAGTAAAATATATGATAATCACCGTGTGCTTTACCAAAGGCCCAGCAATGTGTTTGTAAAGACATTGCTATGGCAACCAACCTGTCATCGAGTGATCAAGGTTTAGCAATGTGTGTCTACCCGTACATCCAAATATGGTCACTTCTGGCCCGAAGAAAAACAAAGATGGCTTCAGCCTAAAATTTTGACTTGTGGATTCAAAACAGTATTTTACAAACCAAACGGTGACATCACCTTGCCTACATCTACTTAATTTATACAGCCTTTGGTCATGTGCTTTTGTGGTCCATAATGCTGAGTTATTTCCAAGAAAGAGTAGAATAAAGCATTACTCACACAGCTCTGTGAGACTTTCCAGAAGTTTCAGAATTGGTAGGCTGGGTAGGTATTTCAACTTCAGAGCAAGATGATCCAAGTTTCCTTGAGTAGACAAACAATGCTCAAATGGACTAATCTATGGGTGTTATTGAGCTCCAGGGCAACATCTTTTAGTGGAGCGATGAAGTATTGTAAATTTATATTTTTGTTTATTTGTCAGGGACAATACATGTAGGCATTGTTACATCTAATTAAAGTGCAACCAATGCAATGTATATACAGGGAGAAGGACTTCTAATCTGCAGTCCTTGTCCTCATCATTATCATTTCCATCACTTTTACAGTTGCCATAAGTTTCAGTCCACTGAGGATTTTTGGTTGGCTGAATCTGCAGCATTGTTTCTCCCTAGAGCACAGAAAACACTGCTGTTCAGCCCCTCTCTTAGGCCCAGTATAAATTACCGCCTCTGGGTGTTAGAAAATGGAAAACAACCCCAAGAGATTAATCTCCTCCAACTTTTCACAGTCTTCAAGCAGCACAGCCATGGATGGCTGCGGGAGAATGTCTGAGCCTTTCCAGATTGAAAAATCAAGCACAAAACTCTGCGTCAGCCGCTGCTATCCTTCCTGATCCTCTGTGTGCCAAACTCTCACTGAGAGGTTGATATGAAAAGTCCATTTCACAAATGGGTGCCTTAGCGATGGTGATCAATTCTTCCTCCTCTAACTGCTGAATCCTCTGTCTGCTGTGTGCGGGGGAGTTTGGGAAAATTGCATTTGTTTGAGTTTTGTCTGGGATTAACTTTTTTTGAGGATGAGATTAAAAGGCCAGACAAAACAAATAAGTCATTGATTAGGAGCTTTCTTGCTGTTGTCAGCTCGGCATATTTGAAAGTTAACTTTATCTGCAGGGCTGTTTCTATGCATCATGTCGGGTTGTGAACTCTCAAACCGAGTCTCAAAATTACTCCTCAGTGTCAACAGTTGACAAGAACTGGCAACCAAGTTATCAACATCTGCCCCCCAATCTCCAAATCAACCTGACTCTTTGGTTAAAACCAATAAAATATGTAAAGAATGAAGAATTTTCCGGTCAAAAATGTTTCTTTCTTTCTTTATTGCTGCTTGTATTGAAGGACAACCTTTACAGACTGACAGGCAAATTGACTGTCCAAGAAGCAGCCAACAGGTGGCAGCACATACTGTACACCAACGCACAAACTGAACAGAGAGTCTGCTGTGTATTCAATAAAAAGAAAGAGGAACATCTTTGTCTCAAGTGCATTCTAATCGATGCCCCCTGGTGGCCACAGATTTATTGAACCATTAAAATTATACAGTCCTTCTGGGGGCTGAGAAGGGGCTGAGAGCTGAGCTGCTGCTAGCTTGTTTGTTGATCAGTATTCCTTTAGTATTCCTCATTTACAAGGATTTTACTGAGAGATCAATTATCCATAGAGGTCTCCTCTATGGCACCTGAGAATTATAATAACCACATAGTGTCACGTTAACACTCAGTGGTTTTCACATTACTCTTCATAGGGGCTGTGAGCTGAGCTGCTGCTAACTAGCTGAATAAAGCCCTTCGTCAGCTTAAAGGATGTATTTATCATTTCTGATGACATGTCACTAAATTTATTATCTTGAAATGTTTAACAGTACTGCTCACAGCCAATGCTAAAAGGACTTTAGTGTGGCACAGATCTGGAAAAAAAGGAACAGATACTTGACGCTTAACTTAAAAAACCAAACCGATTCTTCCATTTCATTCCCTTTTATAAGCAGCTGTTTTTACTGCTTATATTGAAGTTATGATTAAAAACCAGCTCTGTGCTTAAAGGTTAACTTTTATCTGATCTCTCTACGTAATTTATTCTTTACAGATAACATAAATGTGTCACTTCTGCAATCATCAAGCCAGTGTGAAAACAGCAACTGTACTTAAAACCAAAAGCAAAAGCAGAACTGTAATTAAAGTAACTGTTTATTTTTGGTTGTTTTTGCCTCAGACTCGTAACAGACGTCTGCTAGTTAAACACAAGTCCCCATGTTGTCATGCTGAGCTTCACTGCTGAATGAACCAGCTGTGTGTTAGCTCATGTTAGAGAGAGCAGATGCTTTGTTCTGGATCAATGACAAGTGTTTGTTCTTGTGATCCCAAAATCATCCAACAGAGTAAGTGTTACTATATGCTGAATACAATCAAGTGACTGTTACAAACTTGAAACATTATATGCATCTTTTCACTACGTGCAGTGAAACCCAATGTTTAAGACTTTTTTTTTTTTTTAATCTTACACTTTCTGCAAAACAGCTTCACTCGAGCTCTTATTCCCAAGCGCCTTCTCTCAAAAAGTCAACATATGTTCAGTTTACAGTGTTTGTAAGATGAAATAAATGGTGCAAAGAAAATATTTCTAAGCATCACAGGGCTTTGCTGCGAGAGAAGAAAAACAAAAGTGCGATTTTTTTTTTTTTTTTTTTTTTTTTTTTTCTTTCTTTCTTGCAAGAGTGACTCATCTGGAATGATGTGGGGTAACTCAAATAAAAGGTGGAGGAGGGTTTGTATTTTCAAGATCTAAATGAAAATGCTCCACTTTTCCTTTCTCCTTTGTCCCTCCAGAAATCAGGAATGGCAACCTGAAGAGCATCCTGGGCCTGTTCTTCATCCTATCCCGCTACAAGCAGCAGCAGCAGCAACAGCAGCAGTACTACCAGTCCCTGGTGGAGCTCAGCCAGCAGACCAGCAGCACCGCACCATCCGCCAGCAGCCTCAAAACACAAGAAATGCAGTCCAGGTATGTTACACTTCAGGATGTTGTCGTTCAGTAGTTTGGTGTCGGATTTAGTCCACTTTAGGGCAGAGGTAGCCCAGAGGTCACAGAAGCAAGCGGATGTCACTGGTTTGAATTAGATGACCAATTATTTTTTAGGATCCATGCTGGAATAGTGGATGGCTGATTTATTGCTTGCGGATGGTTAATTTGGTCCAGTTAGAGCTTTTGTAAACAGGAATCTGACGGGCGGCCTCTCACTGGTGTCGAAAATGAATAACAGCCGTTACAGAAATGTTTCTTATTAGTGTTTGAGCTGCATCAGCTCCAGAAGGAAGTCCTGACAGGGAAGAGTCACGCTGGCTGACTGCAGGGGAGAGAGGGTACATTAGATTAATACTTTCAATGCGGTTATAACTCTAAATGTAAAGATTTATATGCATATATTTAGAACAGCAGCCATTAAGCTTAGCATGTAAACGTGTATTTGGGATAGATGTTGTTACCCTACAGAGCCGAGGTAGCTGCTTCCTCCTCTGTCCGGTCTTTATGCTAAGCTAAACTCAACTGGTGTTTGCTATAGACTTATCATAAGCCGTTTTAACCCATATGCACCCTTGAAAATGTCTAGAAAATCGCAGCCCGCCCCTGATGGAGGAAAGGGGCCAAGAAGGCAGACTAGCAACAAGTCCCATGCTATATGATGCCAGTTTTGGCCCTTATATTAATGCTACATGTAACTGTACATTTACAGTATTTGTTAAAAGAGCAGAAAAGAACATACTGGCAAGCAGAAAACATAATGAAGCAGTTTCATTATGTGCAGACAGATCTCATTGGTTATCCATCAGTGGCAGGATATGAGAAAGTCATCTGCCCCTCCCACTCACTCACAGTGAATTTTCCTAAATATTTCCTGCTGCATTCACCCATCGATTCACCCCGACTTCATGCATGAATCTTTCTAGCGGGCTGACTGGTGTAATTCTGGATAAAGGAGTTTTCTCGCCATGTGAAAAGGTCAGTTCAGAAAGGAGATCATACACATGGGGTCACCTGTGTCAAGTGGGTTTGGCTAAAACACCACGTCTTAGGGAGACTAGTTGCAGGTCCCAAAGTCTGTTCATTAAAATGGGGGAAATCTTCCAAACATTCAGACACTTACCTGGCATTTTTCAGACTTGTTCTTGACTTTGTCTCTGCCAAACAGTTATGAGATCTGGCATCCCAGATCTCTCCATCTCTTTGTTCTCTTGGTGCTGAAATGTTGTTTATGTGGACTTATCTACAAAAGCTTACATTTGAAACTATGGAATTGCAAAAGCATTTCAAACATGGATTTATGTACTGGATAAATGACATATTGGTTATGATTAAGGTTTCTTGGGCAGGGGACAAAAAGAGAGACCAACCCCACATTGCAGACTGTGAGAGTAGCCTATACCACTTCTACTCACTGATCTATCTTTAATGCATCACCTTGAATGGAAATAATCTTGTTAATATGAAGCCTTGTACAGTAGAGTGTGTGTGTGTGTGTGTGTGTGTGTGTGTGTGTGTGTGTGTGTGTGTGTGTGTGTGTGTGTGTGTGTGTGTGTGTGTGTGTGTGTGTGTGTGTGTGTGTGTGTGTGTGTGTGTGTGTGTGTGTGTGTGTGTGTGTGTGTGTGTGTGTGTGATGTAAATAGACAGAGCATCTAAAGGAAGGCCTGACATGCACCGCATTCCCTCCCCGACTAGATCAAGTTACTGCTCGGACGCTGAGTGTGTGTGTGGCATCGTGTGTGTGCGTAAAATCAGTGCAATAAGAGCAGTTAGTCTCAGCACTTGAGCAGAGAGTTTGAGAGTAAGATGATATTGTGGAGAGCTTTGGCCTCGCTCTGTTTGGATGAGTTAGGAGGGTGCTGGTGGTGGGGTCAGTGCATCGTGTGTGTGTGTGTATGTGTATGGGAGGGTCATTAGGGGCACAGCTGCCTGCCATTCCCCCACTACCGCCTCCCCCGGCAACAGGTGGAGCCTCGCCCTCACACACACACACACGCTCAGCAAACAGTGAAGTTTGAGTACACGCACTGAGAAAGCCATTTCAGATGCTTAATTTTTCACAGTCATAAAACATAAGAGTTTGATGACAAGTTGGTCGAGAGATATTATTTGATGACAGGTTTTCTCCAACCAATGAGAAGCCATACATATGAATTCAAGGAGGAAGTCGTAATTTAAAGACTGTCCCTGTGAAGTGGCTGTGAGTCAATTTCCAAACAGACCCTCTTGCCCTCGCTGTCCACTGGCCCTCTGTAATGTCTTTCTCTCTCCTGGGCGGATAAGCTAATCAAGTCTGAATGCTGAAGGCCACAGTGGAGGTCAGAGGATCAGTCCGTGTCTGTCAGTGACAAAGTAAGCCATTAATCTGTGACTTTTTTTAAGGGATGTCTGAGACACTAAAATCTCAGTGTGGATGTAAAGTCTGAGGATTTGTGCAGAGTGAAGAGGAGGAATCAGAGCAAGGGAATCTAAATGCTGATTGGCTTAAGAAACTGCAGCAAACATTTGTCTCTCCTGCTGAGATATTTGATCTAGAGCACAATGTTTGCTGAGATAAATAAACTGCTGACAGCAGATTGCCTTCTGCCTGTTTTTGTGACTTCCTGTGCTTCTGCAGCCAGCCTCAAGTGGACACTCGACGAACTGCAGGACGGCACATCGTTGATTTACACTGACAGTTGTTTAGCGTTGTCCAATTTACTCTCAATGTTTAATTCTCCACACAATATCAATGTGTGATAATAAACAAGTATGAGCAGCATTTTTAATCCTTTCTCCCTAGAATGGGTCAAAAATGATCGATTCGTCCTTCATTCATCATCAAACATTTTCAAAGTTGTTTCAATCCCCGTCTTGAGGACAGACCTGACATAGCTTGCCTTTTTTCTTTTAACAAATCTGCAACGTGATGTGGTTATTTTGGGAAACTTACACCAGTTATATGCAGGGAAATCATAATAATCAGTTTTCTTCTTCAGGCCCAAACCTGCTGAAGTAAGCCTCCGTGTAACTTACTATTTACAGTTAATAAGACTAGACGAGAAACAGATGAACAGGCGCCTCTTGAGTGCGCTCAACCAAAAAATGACAATGTTTATGTTGCAGATGTATCTAGAGTGGAGTTGAGATTTGGTTATCTTTTGATCTGAAACGCCGTCAATCCTCAAAGTTGGTAATTGGACTCTAAACAATGTACCTTACAGAAAAAGAAGTGTTGGCTGCAAATTGTTTGATGCTAACTTCTGGCTACTTTGGAATTATCCCAGAGGAAATATCAGCGTCAGATAATTGCTGAAGGGTTCAGAGACTGGCGGTAAAGTTACTGATTCTCTGGCCAGACAGTAAGAGTGATTCTCTACACTCAAAAACCATCGAAACCCCAAAGATGTGTGTGCGGGAGTCTGGCAGACATCACAGAGTTCCCCCCCCCCCCCAAAAAAAAAAGAATGATTAAATAAATCAGGCTGAATTTCGGGATAATGGGTTTAAAATGATGCATGGGACTTCTGTTGTATTTCAATTTGATGGGGTTTCGCAGCCACAGAAGCATGTAATCTTGGATTTGAATCACTGCAACAAGCTGATACAGAATATAAATGATACTGTCAGACTGTGTGGAATAAGCAGATAAATCCAACCAGAAAGTTGCGAGTGCATCTGTGGGAACAATTTTTTCTGAAGGGGTTGAAGCATTATTTTGATGCATGACATGGTTTTTGTTTAGCATTACACCTTTTTATTCTCACAGAATCATTTATTTGTCTTCATACGATAAGAGGAGACACCTGGTTTCCAGCTCGATTCTCCATTAATGAGATGATAGAACAGAGATATACACCATCTGATTGATTCAAGAATATTCTGTTATCCTGTCTGTTACCTTATTTCTTTTAGAATAATGTTTAACATCAGCTTCAACGTCACATATATTGTAGTTCTCACCATGACTTTGTAGTTTATTAAGTAATCCATTGTATGTAAAGCAGCCTTCAACTACTTCCAAACACAAGTCTGCAGTATCATATCTGCACTGTCATTAGCGCGATTTTAATCATGATATCATATTAAAGAAATATTGCAATGATCATTTATTTGGAGGGCTTCCTGCCTGTCGATGTGCAGACTCCCTTTTCCTCCTTTCTACCCCTCAAATGTAATTAAACATATTCATTAAAAAAAACCTTTTCCAATTTTAATTTTCCACAGTGATGAATTTCTGTTATCTCCAGCCGACCCTGAAGATTTGACATGTCTGAGTAACTTCATGGAATAAAAGATAAGCCTGAAGAATGGATGTTTTAAATGAAAAGTGTTAAGCTTTTTAAATTATCCGACTCCCAGATTTACACAGACACACACACACACACACACACACACACACACACACACACACACACACACACACACACACACACACTCACTTATTTGGCCTACTGCAAATCTACAGTTGTGGTATGGGGAGCTTTCTATAGACAGCACCTGCTGGCCTGACTGGTGTCTCTGGGGTAGGGGATGGGAAGTGTGTTACTATGCGTGCATGCAGTGTGTGTGTGTGTGCGAGTGTGTGTGTTAGAGGGGAACTCCCTATTGGACAGCTCCCGACAGCCCGGAGCCACAAGAGGTTTGCAGTGCTGCAGAAGGCAGGGGGGCCCAGGCCTGACAGGGCACAGCAAACCCTCCCTCTTTAACTCAACATGTCCCGGGGCGAACAGGTTGACCCCGTGGTCTGGCGCTCCTCGCGCCTCCCCACTGCCGCGTCTCGCGACAGGAAGAGCCGATTGCCTTACGGGAGAGCCAACAGTCTGGCCAAGCCCGACTCGTCTCCTAGGTACAGTTTTAGCTGGCACAGTGTGGGTGTGTGGTGTGACTTCAAGGCATCAGAGTTTGGAATTTCCAGGAAAACACATGACTATCTGAAGAGGATGGATTAATGTTGTTGGCGTCATGAACTGGTAAATGGTTTGGTTCTTTGTCCTTCCAGACTGTCTTTATGGATTCCTAGTTGTGCTGGTTATTTTAGGATGTTGTCTTTGTATGGATATGGTGGATCTTTTCTTGGTGGCTTGTCATGGGATACTATCAGTGAGAAGTTCTAATTGAAGTCATCCATTCATCTTGTCAGCTGCTAGTTTAATCAGGGCAGTAATGCAAGAAATACCCAGTTTTTCCCAATGTTCAAAGGTTTTGGCTTTGAAATCGTCTTCCTATGACACTAAATACATAAATAATTTGCTTAAGTCGTCATGCCATGGTTTTTTCTTACCTGAAACGTTGTAGTTCTTGTTTCCTGAAGTTAATACCCTGCCCTATAGCAGTGGCAGAATGCAAGTTACAAGTATGAATCATTTTGATCAAGCTGTTTTTTCAAGGCACTAATGTGTAATGTTGTCTCAGGACTGCAATGTCTGAAAACAGTAAAATGGATGGTTGGCTGGAAGACTAGTTGCTGACCTAGTAGATTTTAAAAAAGACAAACAAATAAAATAATTGTCCAAGAATGACTTGGTAAGAGCCATCATGACATGGAAGGTTATTTGGGGGTTAAAACCATCATGGATCCATCATTGTGCTTGCCTTCGAGCGTCCCTGTATAGAACCCATTTGTTTTTGTTTTATTTTGGCATTCCTAAAAATTAATTCATTTTTTGAAAAACTCATCCCTTAAACCCTCTGATGTGGTATGGTGTGGTACAATATGATATAGCAGGGTATGATGAGATATGCTTTGTTGTTCCCTTATGGAAATTTGTCTTGACCTCGATGTCAACAGACTTTTCTGCTTGTCTTTAAGTGTGAGTGTCTGTGTAGAATTTGGTATTTTTCTCCCCATTCCTCTGTCTTTACAGTTTGAAGACTTGAATGAAAGGATAGACACAGGAGGAATGCGGGGACTTTAACTTTCTCTATATATTCTTTATCTTAACCCCATACAGTGCAGGCTTGATTGCACCATAAACGCTCAAAAGCTGTATTTGGTTCCTAAGGCGGCGGATCGTCACTCAGGAAAAAAAACTCTCCCTCCCTTACCACATTACAAGCATCAGTGTATATTTGGTAGATATTCAGTTGACAGTGTAATAGGCAGGAAGGCTATACTTAGTGTCAAAATGTGGGTGCTGATTGGGCTTTCAAAGGGCAGACTATGACAGACGTTGCCAAGACAAGAAGGTCTGATGACATCTCATTACCTGCTGTCATCACGGTGACCTTGGTGTCTAAGCACCTGCCACCTATCAGTATGTCTTCCCTCATACTAATGGGATGCTTCCGGTTCAATCAAAAGGAAAAGATTGTACCCTGCACTCCTTCTCTTTCTCACCACCGACCCTTGCTCGTCCACATTTTCCATCCCCTTGTTCTGGTGTCTCTTTTTCCACATCGGAAAGACCTTAAAATCTGTGGGTTTGATAAGCTCTTCAGGCTGGAGACTCTGTGCTACGCCTTCATGTTTCATTGCATTTTATTAAGACTGAGTTTGATGGAGGGGGTCAGGATGGGTCCTATGGCGGAAAAGTTGCACTCCATAACCCTTTATGCTTTTTACTGTCAACTGTGGGTCGCACTTACATCACCATGGCTCAGGCTTCTGCAGCCTTTTTTGCATTCAAAGATAACCTAAGTTCCCCCTTGCTAATAACCCTGTAGTGCATTCCCACTCTGAATATGACCAAAAAGGATGAAAACTCAGACATAAATCAACATTTTAAAAGCTTTATTTGTCTGTATTTTTTGGGAGAAATGAGGTGCGTTAATTCAAGATCAAAGTTGGTTCCATCAAAATGTGGTAAAATCATTTTCAAACGTGACAGGCCCCGTTAATCTCTGCCTGGCTTTGTTTCCCTGTATCAAAGTGCCATTTAGAATATTTAACAGAGATAGCCATTTTACATGAAGAGAATCTCAGATGATATCAAACGCAAGAACAGGGTGGAAAATAAACATCCAAGAGAAAATGCAGCTTCCTTCTAATAGTTTGAACTTGCACTTTGATGGTGTCCTTGGTGGATTTTTACTGCAGGTTAAAAACAATTTCACTTCATGAAAACCTTGTTCTTATTCTCTAAGATTAACAGGAAAAATATATATTTTCCCTTTCTTTGTGCAGAAATCATTAATGCTCAACTTTTTGTTAAATATTGCATAGCTTTTTTCTGCACATTCATTTAGTCTACTCTATACAAAGACTTCAATCACCTCTCTTAAACCACCTGGGTGCCATTCATCCAGTCATACATTTTGCTCACATTATATTTCTGTGTGCAGATACTGTGTTGTGGGCGAATTAGAGATACTATGGAGAGCACATTTAGTTTCCAGACATCATTATCCAAAGTGTTTTGTACCATATACTTCACTGATACCATGATGTAAAAGCTCATATAGCTGGAAACTGCCCTGAACTTGTTGCCTTCTGTTCTGCTGTCTGCTCTGAAGCTCGTTAGCATAACACCGCATCATGAAAACCTGCAAGGTCAATTAGAAGTGTACAATGAGTCTGCACTTCATTGCAGGTGGTTTAGAAGTAAGTGAAACAGTCCCATGAGAGAGAGTAAACAGACAAAGTGAGTGTGTTAGCGTGTGTGAGTGCATCTACATGTGGGAGACAGACGAGAAATAGGAGGATAAAGAAGCACTTTTAGAGAGTTAGACAGCTTATTAATATTCTGCCCAACACCTTAAAAGATCCTTGTCGTTCACAGTTCGACCTCTCCGAACAAAGCATTTAATATCACACTCTCACCCTGTAGCGGGTTGGTTTGGATTCCACAGAATGATGACATTTATTCAAGATATTGACTGAAAATCACCTCAGCCGGGCCTAAAACTTCTGCACCAGCTCTTTTCTTATAAAAGGAAATTATGCACGAGTAAGTGGCTGCCAAAATATTCATTGGCAACAGAATTTTTATTAAAGTCATGGCCAGAAGGCTTTATGAACTGAACCTAATTCTTTATAATACAACTTTGAGATGTTAATATCGTGAGTTATAGTACATGTACTGTCAGTTCTCCTGTTATCTTTTCGTGCCAAATTCATGTTTTATTATCTTTGGGTCACAGTGTCAGCATGTGAAAAACATTTAAATGTGAAGGCCTTCTTTGAAAGCTGGTTTCATGCACATTTATGAACTGCTCAGTGCAGACTGAGCAAAAAATAAGAAGTGTTGACTGCAGTGCGTCATGCAGCCACCCAGTATAGGTAGTTTATTGTCTCTGTCTACTCACTCACCAACGCCAAACCAGCAGCCCACAATCACAAAACACAGAACAAGTTGTTCCTCGTTGTCAGAAGAAAATGATGGCTAAACAGACTGCTGATTTTATGCTGCTTCGTCTGTCAACTGAGCATAACTGGACTACTCTGGCCAGTGTTATACTGTAGTTTAAGACAGTTGGAATACTACTTGTCTGATGTTACCCGGGGATTACACAAGTTGCTCACCAGTTAGCCCATAAAAGGTATGACAGGAGCTTTCAAAACTACTTGAATACTTTGTTGGTTGATGTCTAGTTGTTGAATTCTCTATTAAGCTACAGTTATGACAGCATTTTGTTTGTATGTATTTCACTGCCATTGTCAGCAACAATTATTTGTGCTAATTTTCATTAATTTATGTAGAAAGAGAAGAACAAGTACACACGCTTGAAAAGTAAGTTGCTCTATATTAACAACAAAGCTAATTAATCCACTTTAAGGAAACTCTGATATGCTAGTAACCTTAGCAACTTTATTAGAGCCCAGACATACTCTTTTAAGCTAAAGGCTAATGGTAGCAACCAAATTTAGCATTTGATACAACCCCTGAAAAAATAATTTAAGCAACCTCTTTTGTCTCTTTAATTAAGTTGGAAAATTAGTTGTGCTATCAACAATAAGGCTTTTGGTATAATCTTTTAAGGTAGTAGGGTACTGTTAGCAACCCTATGCAGCTCCAGATAGCCTAAAGATCAAATATTAGCTTACTATATTTCAGCTTTAAATAAAGATTTCTAGTAATGTTATGAACCACTGGGTTTTATTTCTCTCTTAAGCTAGTAATGGTAGGACTATTTGGTTTTTGTATTAGATGTGTTAGGCGAGTTCTCCCTTTGCCATGAGCAATCACTTTAAAACTCTATAGCTTAATATTAGCATCAATTACCACATTTTGCTACAGCATGACAGTTTTTTGTTTACATTTTCAACACTTCTCTGAAGTTGTGTGCAGTGTTGTCCATAATGTTCTGGCAATAGTGTGTATTTTGTTGAAAACAGTGGGGAAAAAACAGAAAAGGCCTCTTATATTTTAATACTAACACCAAATACATGGTTAGCTTTAATTCTTGTCAGTAACCTTTCTTTCCTCTCTTTATAGTTAGCAGGATTAATGAGATTTTTTCCAGTGGTTTTTCTCTTGCTTGATTTGCTCTAAAGCTATTGGTAAAAATATTTGCCCTTGGCATTTTAAGTCAGCCAAGTTGTTGAAAAAGAAGATGTGACTAGTCAATAGAGGAGCTAACTTTCAATGGAGGCTCTGTTTCTCCAGCTTATGGCAACAAGTGAGAAGTGCTCACATGGTCTGCGAGTCATACTGTTCACACAGGACGTTCCACTCAGAACATTTACACACCGGAATAAACAACAGCCCTGACACCAGGCCTTCCACTTTACATTGTTTACCGCGGTACGGGTGATGATTAAAGGCATCTCTTTGTTCATAAAGCGCTCTACTAGTAGCTTAACTACTTCCTGTCAAACATGAATGGAGAGGCCAGCCTGGAACAGTCCGCATTGATTCCCATCTCCGTGAGTGACTAACAGTGAGTGTTGGGTTATAAACTGTGACT